TTTTGGCAGTGAATGTCACAAGGATCATTCGCCACGGCTTCCTCCAGGTGCGAGCTAGCAACACGTCAAGGAGCTTAAGCAGCTTGATGTCTCTTTTCCTTATCAAGTTGACTAGCATCGCCCCTTGGAGGGGTCTGACCACATACATGCCCTGCAGCTAGTTTTTCATTGTACGTTATTTCTCGCTCCCGACAATGTCTTGAAGACTGCATTCGTAATCTCAATTCTATCTTCCCATTTCATTGAGAAACCATTCTCGATCAAAAATAATTTTGGCTTTGTCTCATTCATTACTCTTAGGACATCCACTCATTTTCAATATAATTTTTCCTCTCTTCGAAGCTCATACATAGCCAAATCCACATGCATCCTTCCCGGGTCATTTCTCCCGGCCTTTCTCAGATCCTGCCAATTCCTATGCATATCATCCTCTGCCTTTTCTTGCCTTTTACTTAATTGACTCTCCTTGTGCATTGCTTGGCTCACCCCTCAGCCACTTCTCATCTTTTCGAGCTTATACGAGTCAATTACACAGCCAACTCTCAGTCTGTCATTTCCAGTTCATACTATGTCACTAGCTCAAGTCCTTTCTGCGCTGGCGTCTTGCCAGACCTTCTTTCTCAGGCCTATACAAAGTCAATCATCACCTTTTTCTGTTCCGATCATCTTGACAAACCCCTTTTTTTCCAAGCCCATGCAAAATCAATTACAAGTCTTATTTTTATGCGTATTCATTGGTAGATGACACACCTTTCCCCCACTGAAAACGCGGTGTCCCCATCGCGCGACTGGTTCTCACTCGGAGATACGCAGACCTTTGGCCCACCAACCGCAAGTCAAGGACACAAGCCCGTCCGCTTCTTAAAAGGAAGAGTGATCAGTTCCTCCCCCGCGGACGACGCCTCGTCCTTCTACCCGGTCCGACCTTTCTTCTCTTACATGGCGAGCACCAATACCGAGGTTTCTCCCCATGTCTGCTAGGCGGGTCCAATTCAAGCCTGCCATGACCTCGTCTAGCCGTAAGAGCGTTCCTCGCGAATCGTTCCTCCCGAGTGGTGATTTTTTGGATTCCGGCCTCTTTCTTTCAAGAGAGTTGGGGCTCTTGATTAGTCCGCGAGTGCAGTTACGAAGACCTCACAATTAGTTCCGAAGCGGTTGTAATGCTCCGACAAGGCAGTGTAAGTGCCCTGTGGTGGCCGCGGATCCCACCCGGTACTCCGCCAAGCCTTTCCCTTTGGACAGTGTCGCCCAACTTAGCGCGGGCAGCCGTGGTCCGACCCAAACGACCATGCCAGCCCTCTATTACATGGCGTGTGGTTGGAGAGTAGCAAAATAAACTAGATGAGAATGACTTTCCTGCCCATTTGGCTCTCTCGCCCTTTGACGTTTAGGCATTCAACAGGAGGCGCAGTTGGAACTCACCGACTAGAGCTCATTGTCGGAGGTGGTTCCGGACGTCCCGCACTGATCCAAGTGGTGGGCGCCTTAGTCCTTTAACCCTCATCCTCTCGAAGAGGAACAGGTCGCGCTGAGACTTTTTCCCTTAACGAGATAGAGGTCTTGGGGTCGCAGTGCATGCACCGGTATCCCCCTCTTGCTGAGGCCAAAGACTAGAAAACGAGAAATTTCATTTCAAAGTTCTTTCGAAGTTCATTTCGAGTTGCCTAGGGTCCCCTGTTTATGCAATGCAATTTACAATACTCAATCCAATTCCAATGCTTAGTCTCATTCCCATGCTCAATATCAGTCCAGTGCTCAATGCAATATCTTTTCCAAGGCTGAGTCTAATATTCTTTCCAAGGCTCAGCTCTTCCAATCTTACCCAGGGCTCGGCTCAATGCCTCTTTCAAACTCGGCTCAATATCTCATCAATATCTTTTCCAAAACTCAGCTCTTCCAATATCATGCATCTCAAGCAGCCATGCAAGGGGACCCCAGTGCCAATTCCAAAGAATGACCCTTGTCAGGGGTTATTCCGAACAACCTGGTGAGGGTCGTTCTTTCCACTTCCAAGTCGAACAGCCTGGTTAGGCCATTCTTATCCATTGCAATCGGACAGCCTGGTTAAGACCATCTGTCCATTTCAATTGGACAGCCTAATTAGGGTCATCCTTGTCCATTTCAATTGAACAGCCTGGTTAGGGTCATCCTTGTCCATTGCAATGTTAGCGCCCGAGGGGGTGGGCCTCGAGGACACGGATCCTATCTCGTCTCGGGGGTTAGAGGACGGCCATCGTCTTGGGTTTTTACGCATGCTTCTTCCTTTTCCTCATGTCTTTTGTCATTCTTACATCCATCCATACATCCGACTTAGCGTCTAGTACTCAAGTTGAGGCTCGCGTCCCCAAGCAGCACTAGCCCGCCCGGCCGTTCACCATTGCAAGGGTTGTTGCATCATTTCAATGTTTCCCTGCGACTTTTCTGACTTCTCATATGTTTTTCAATGCTCTGGGATTGCCTGGGGTAGGTTAGATTAGGCTCCTAGGAGAGAGGGTGCCTCTCTACCCGTAGGTCCTCTGACCTCTCACAAGGGCTCATGCAATGACTCATTCAGTCCTGGATACACAATTTCAAAGGAAAAACTCTCGCCATGACTGCATCTTCCAATGTTCAAGAGTTCACATGCCCCTGCCTATTTTCTCGAGGCAAAGTCAATCATCCCCAAAGTCTGTTTCTTACTACCAAAAAAATTTTCATTTTCCCCAAAGAAGCGAATATTTATACAAAGTAGCACAAGCCTCCCAACCCCCACTAGTTTCCTCAATCCAAAAAGTAGTTTCATTACAGTCCTTCCCAAAAAGGGGGAGACAAAGTTTGAATGCAACGACAACATTACAGACTTGTCTCATCTAGGTCCCCCTTGTTTCCACTTTTTATTTCCCTTAATCTACCCAGCCATCCATAATTATATTCTAAGTGCGAAAGAACTCTCGTGCTAATTTCCGAAGAAGCAATGACTTATGTGAAGTAGCATTCGTTACCCATTCCTTAGCCGCTTCGAGCTTAGCAGCTGTCTCATCACAGTTCATTCGGAAAGAAGTCCAAGTGCGCAAAAAAGGAAAGATGGTAATTCTTGCTGCCCGGCTACCAATCCCTCCCCGATTCCCAGTATTTCCCATCATGCCTGCTGTCCCCTTTTACTGCCCCGGTGCCCAGCGCCGAGCCTCCCTTCTTGCACGGTCCTCCATCTCTTGCTCCATTAGCCTCTTTATTGTCTGTAGATGGCGAAGTGTTTCTTCTAAAAAGAAGGTTGTTGGGGATATGTCTTCTCCCCTGCTCAACTTTTCCTGGCCCTTCATTGCCCATTGATAACGCAAAATACTGGTTCATTGATCGAACCAACCGCTGAAAGTTGGCCCGAATTCTCTTTTCCATGGGTCCTTTTCTTCTCCTGGGTCCTCCTCTCTTCCCCGATCTTCCCTTGTGGGCGTTGTTACCTCATCTTCCTCCTTGTCGCTGGTGAGGTCAATGAACTCAACGGGCTCATTCTCTCCCGACCGTTGTCCTTCCTCTGGGTTCCCCTCTTCCCTACTACTAGGATCACTGTCTGAAGGCAGCTCTATTGGCTCCCCTTTCTTTAGTGGTGACGGTCCTCTGGTTCCTTGGTTTATGCCCCCCCTATTCACAACTAGGTTGTGATCGAACCCCACATACAACTTCCTTTTCCTGGAGCTTGACTCTCCAGCTTGCCTAAGCGACTGTCCCTCTTCCGGCCTATTGATGGCATTGCTGTCATTCTCATTTTCGTATTCCATCTTGCTGTTTTCTTGCTATTTTCTTCTCGCCTGGCCCTGTTCATGCATAACAGTCACGGCACCCCTCATACACACGCATTCTCTTCCACTCCCATTTGCGGTTTTGAAGGCTCTTGCTCGCCCCCATATAGATGGTAATCCCAACCCTCAACACATTGTCCCAACACATAGGTGCCCCATGTAGGCAGTCCACAACATCACCCCCCCCCAAAAAAAACTATGGTACATTGTCCCAGCCCATAAGTACCTCACGTAGACAGTCCCCAACGTTATCCCACAAAAACTATAATACACTGTCCTGTGCTCCCAGGCCAAGTGTTGTCCGTCACACGATTGACTACTTCCTCGAGTGCCTCCTCATTCCTGGCGACCTGCTGATAACGTGCGGTGATTAACTCTTCCGTGCTCAAGTGTGGATCGTCATCTAGCCTGTTCCAGGTAGGGACCAAAGCTTCTATCGGAAAATCGATCTCCCTTCCATACTAGAGTTCTGCTGGAATACATCCCGTTGTTCTTTTTGGAGTCATGTTCTCGGCGAAGACTGCCTGCTTGAGAAACCATGGCCAACTTCCCAAATTATCTGCTGCCTACTTTGTGATTGTGTTCTTCAAAGTCCGGTGACCCCTTTCTACCGGTGCATTTGCCTCAGGATGGTAGGGCTCGGTGATCTTGATCGGCACACACAGTGTCTTAAGCCTATTCAACACTTCTTGGTTAACGAATTATGTCTAATTGTCTGCTATAAACCTACGCACGAAGGGGTGCCTTAGGTAGAAATCTTCCACCCAGTCGACCACCGCTTTCCCCGTCTTCTTCTTGAGGGCTATGGCTTCTACATAGCCACTGAGATTATCCCTTGCATCCAAGATGTATCTAAACCCATCCGTTGATACGAGCATAACGACAAGGTCGAGGTGAACAAGGTGGCCGGGTCCCAGTACCCGGGTGCGTCTAAGGGGCTCGTAAACTCGTACGGCGCTCCTTTCTTGACATATCAGACACGTTTGACAATACGTTGCGACCATGCCTGCCATCCCTGGCCAAAAGTACAGGGGCACGATCTTTGCAAGTGTCCCCTTGGACGACCGGTGACCTCCAGCTAGCCCGTCATGCATTGTCTGGATTACGTCCAGCTGCTTAGACCTCCCGCAGACGACGCGTCTAGGCATCATTTCTTCCTCTCTTTTGAATAAGTGGCCATTTCTTAGAACGTACTTTTCTACCTCCTCCCTTGCCTTGGGACTGACTTCCGTGGTTTGTTTGTTCCCTACAAGGAGCAGACCGATTTCTTTGAAGACGGCCTCGTACATCTGTATGAGGAAGAACTCTTGTTCCTTCTGATCCGTACCCTGCTCCTCCCGAGTGAGGTTGACTAGATACTGACACTCCTTCTGCGCACAGGCTTCGGCCAACGTCATCACGGCGTCTCGTCCCCCCTCCACGGTCATTGCCATCAGTTCCTCTCTGGCTCCTACTTATGCTCCCCACAAGTCCTTTTCCTCTTTGCGCCTGACCGTGGTGACTGGTCCTTCCCATAGTTCTGCAACCACTGAAGGTGCGCCCTTTTCCAAGGTCTGAATCAGCAATTGTCCGGTTGTAATTGCCGGATCTGCCATCTCATTATCCACGATAAGGGTCCCTCCATCGTACTTCAGGAAGGCATCAATTGGTTCTGCGTCCTCTACTCCTTCTGGCGTGATACAAACCCTGCTCAACCCATCTGCCAGCCCTGCAATTCGCTCGACCTTATAGTCAAATTGCCATATGAAGCCTATCCATCTGCCGACAGTCGGGTCTATGGGCTTGTAGTTCTTTAGGGCTCCGGCAACGTTGGTGGGATCGATCCTTAGGATAAATCGTCTCCCGAACAGGTATGCCTGGAAGGTCTTAAGACAATGTAGAATTGCTAAAACCTCCTTCTTGAACTGCGAATACCGTCGTTCTGGTGAATTCAGGGTCCTACTTTCAAATATGATTGGTCTTTCTTTGCCCTTCTCGCTTCTCTGTATCAATACTCCTCCCACTGCCAATGGTCCCCCATCTGTTTCTAAGATGAAGGGTCGTCCTACCTCGTCATTGAAACAGGGTGCTGCTAACGTGACCTGATCGGACGACAAAATGTATTTCAGGGTCTTGGCTGCCTCTTCCCTATCCTCTGTCCAATCCATAGTGCCACCTTCCCTAATCATCGCGCGGATGGGTTCTGCTATCTTTGCGAAACCTTTGATGAAGATCCTCCAGAATCCAACCACCTTTAGGAAGGCTCGTACTTTCGTCGTGGTACGCAGGGGTGTTGGCCACTGAGAGATCTTATCAGTCTTTGCTGGAGCGGGTCTCCTCTCATAAGCTCCACAGCGGAATCCCAGTATGGTTACTTCCGGGACTGCCAGGATGCTCTTGGGTCCGCTTGCAGTAATGTTGTAGACTAGTAATCGCTGGAGTAAGTCCTTAACATCCTGCAAGTGGTCCCAGACGAACTTCCGCACTCCCGGTTGTACTTCCGTCTCATCTTTGTATCTTGCGCCTTTCACGGGATTATCATCTATGTAAGGTTCACACTTTTCTAGAAACATATCCCCTGCGACGGCAAGCATCCTCCTCTGAGCTTCTGCTACCACATTTGTGAAGCCCATAGGGTTCACTTGCATCTGCAGCTGTCCTACCGGGGTGTGCATTGCGGTATATGGTCTATCCATGGCGTCGAGCGACAACTGATCATATCCTGAGTACAAGTCTACCAGGGAGTAAATACTCCGCCCCGCATGAGATTCTACCAACAAGTCGGCCTGTGGAAGCGAGCCTGCATCCCTGATTGTTACCGCATTGAGCTTTTGTAGGTCCTGGATCCACCTGAGCATCTTATTGGGCTTCCTGAACACGAACCACTTGTTCGAGTAGGGAGATGCGGTGGGTTCAGCCACAAAAAAAATTATTTTGGCTCTAAGCAGGTCGGTGACCTCCGCTGCTATCCCAAACTTATAGGCGGGTCCTTTATCATTCCAACACTCGTGTTGTACGGTGTGGATCCTGACAAGGGGAACTAGCTTTGTATCCAATCGCCCTTTCTGATGATTGTTGAAAGCGAAAGCTAAATGAAACTCCTGGCATGCCTTTCTTATCAATTGAGTTTCTTCCGTTGTTAGAAACCCTTCCACTTCTATTTTCATGGTGTCTGCTACCTCATCTGGTATGCGATGCCCTTCCGTTGCTCCCCTCTCCCTTATTACCCGCAAGATTTCCTCCTCCTTCTCCATGACCTCTTCCTTTGACGTTTCTACTAGGACTGAGACCGGCTTGGCCTTCTTGCGTACGGGTTTATACTTTCGCACACTACCTTCGGGGATCGTTCTCCTAAAAAATGAACGGTCAGGATTGACCTTGCTACCTCCAAGACGCGGGGCTGGATGTTGACGAGCTTCTTATTCAGACAGTAGCCCTTTCGAACCCCATCCTCAAATCCGGCAAGCGCTGCGAGGTCCACCCCCACTTTGTGGTACCTGATTGCCTTAACGAATTGTAATAAATCTGGGATTTCAAGCACTACCTCCGACGTTTCGTTCCGGGCTTCCTTTGGTTTGGGCAGGTTGGCCCCAAGTTCGACTTCCGACTCTTTTTTTGTCACCATAACTTCCAGGGACTCGTCCTCTGGCCTCCTCTTCTTTATGGGCAAGCCCATCTTGATTCACTCCTTTTTACTAAAAGCCTCCTCAATCATAATTTCTACCCTTTCCCTCATGCCTTCCATTCGTGTGAATGCCCCCTTCCGCGCACTTTCTTCGAATGTTGGAGACCAGGTTGCCAATTTGCCCTTCGGAGGGTCTTCTCCGGTCCCAAGAAATCGGAGGAGTTCCCCGCGGCCGGTCACCGGGTCCTCTATGTCTACCATGTATGTGTCGTCGTGCAGATGCATTCCTATCATTTCCACACTAGCACATCACAGTCTCCCGAGGATTACGTCGTGATCCATTTCTTCCATCACGGTCATCCGCTGAAAGGACCAGATGGATTCCCGGATTCCCGCCCTGACTGCACATTTGGTGACATACCCTGTGAAAGGAATTTCGCCACCTGCTCCCCGGATACTCCCTGCTACTTCCTTGTTTACCGTGCACCCCGTGACCGTTGCGAAATTCCGTCGTATAAGGGTGATTTCTGCTTTGCCATCCACTAACGCGTCAGTGTGGTGAGTTCTGATTTGAACTTTAAGTTTCCCAACTGGTAATGCATGAAAGCTAAGCTTTGTCCCGGGTGGCGCCCTCATGACTTCGCCACCTTCACGATCCGGTAGGTTTAGGCAGATGTCCGCAAAGGTTTTCCCCAACTCTCCCAGGCCCCCTGGAATGCTTTGGAGGTTGGAGACTCCTTATGGCGCCTCGGCCTCCTTCGTGTCCTGCTCTTGCAGTTTCGGGGCCTCTTTTACCTCTACGCGCTTACGCCTTAGCAACTGCCTGAGTACTTTAAGCAGCCTTGGGCTGACTTGCAGCATGGTCTGAAAAGACACCGATACCATGGTACCCAGTAGCTTACTCAAGGTGCCATCGATTTCTGGCGAAGTCAGGATCGAAATTTGATACTTGAACTTCTTTTTTGCGGTCGTAGCCTTGTCTACCGGTTCGTCATCCCTTGGCTTCCCATAGACCTTGTCTTGTTCTACGGCTTCGGTCTCTTGCTGGCCCGCGCTAGTCCCTGCGAGTTCCTCCATTACTGTATCTTAGATAAACTTCTTTTCTGCCCCGGCCCGGCGAGTGGTAATATTTACCCTATCCTGGCCATTGCCTTCTATGATAAAATTGACCTGTGGTTCCCACCCCCTTGGCTAGTCCCAGACAATCTCGGCTATCGGCTCTGCTTCTACGACAGCTATCTCTAAGTTATTCAGGAGGATGACGGCTCGCCGCATCCCTCCTGGCGAGTTCCAATTAACACGCTCCCCCCTATGTCCGAGGATCTCGCCTTTGAGGGACCTACTGCACCTCTGCCGCTCGATATTGTGATTGAGTCTCGGACAGGCCCGTACGAAATGCCCGATCATGGTGCAATACTTGCATTGTTCGTTGGCCGGGTCCCTCCTGCCAAACCCCCGGTTTGCTACAGCTGCCGGAACCACGGCCTCTTGGGGCAGGAGGGCGGGTCTGGACACTTGCGCCTGCATTACTAACAGCGGATTTTCCATTTTGTCCATCTTGCTATCAACCCCGTGCACCCGTTCGTGCAGGCTCTCTATTCCCTTCTCGACCTTATCCCCTGTCTTCCCGGTCAGATCTATGACCTCCCCTTCCTTAAGCAGGGTTAGCGTCTCGGTGACTACTGTCTTTTCCGCAAGGTCTGTTACGGTGCTGAAGTCCACATCTCTCGTGTATTCGAACTTACTAGTCTGCTGGTATGCTGATAAAAACTTATCTTTATCGAACTCGAAAAACTGCCTGAGGAAGTATTTACTCATTATACGGTCCGTTACCCCGGGAATTCGCAGAGCCACTAACGTGAATCCCCTTAGGAAATCATTGTAAGTCGCATAGTTTTTCCTTTGGACTGCGGTTAATTCGGCCTCTATTGCCATTTTCTCTGCCTTCAAGTATTTCCTCATCATCTCATTCCTGGTTTCCTTCCAGGATCCACTGGAGGCGACGATGGCCATAATGTCCCTGCCCAAGCTTAGTGACACGTGCTGCCCCAGGTGCTCCATTTTTTCCTCTTCCGTCCATTTTAGTAGGGCTGTTAGGTTCTCATAGTCTATTAGAAACTCCGTAATGTTGGCCCCATCGAATGTGAGTTTCTTCTTTGCATCTGCGAGATACCCCTGGTTCTTGTTTAGTGTCCTGTTGAGGGTGGCGACTACCCTCTTGAGACCATCTTCGGAGGCACCCGCTTCCCCAGCTGCACTGGTCTTTTTCCCTTCCTTGTTTTCCCTCTGCTTCTCCTTGGTTTTGGGCAAGTGGCGGGCAGTCTGCTAGTGCCGTTGTCGATGGCGGGCGGTGTCATAGCGTTTTTCGTCCCTTCTGCCGGGGGGTCGTCCTTGTCCTTCCCCTCCTTGTTAGGCATCCCCCTGTGGCTATTATCCTTTCCTTCATATCTGGCCTCGTCCTGAGTGGTCCTTTGCCCCTCTCGTGACCCTAGGCCCTGGGGATCCTCCTCATCCCCGACCATCATCTGCTCGATGAGCCTTGCCTTAAATTCTGCAGTCCGCTTCTCGATCTCTGCCAGTTTGCGACGCGTATCTAAGACTTTCATCTTTTTAGGGGTGGTTTCTGCTGAGTTTCGAGGGCTTGTTTTCACGTCGTTTCCCCCTTCCCTGTTTTCCTGAGGTCCCCTTTTGCTACCCCCAGCTTTCCCGGAACTTTCTCCCGTTGAAATGTTTTTTCCATCTTCTCGGGTTCCTTCCTGTTTGGCTGACTCTCGATCCTTCACTGATCCCTCGTTTCGTTCCTCACCCCCATTCGTTCCCTGGCTCCCCCTGCTCTGTTGATCATCGAACTCTTCTTTTGTCGCCATTCCCTTTACCCAGCCTGCACATGGAGAAAATTTTTTTTGTGAAAAATGGCCGGATGTTCATAACTGTCCTAGTCACGGCTCTAAGACCCGCCTATTCTCATGTTTTTTGCGTCTTATATTAATTGGTCCGACTCTCCTGACTTTTCTTTCCCAGGGTGTACTTCTGTTTTTTTTCCTGCCGGCCTTGCCGCCGCCGCTCGACATTTCTTTACTGTCGTGCTTAGGTTCTTAGGGCGGTGCCTGAGCCCAGTGACTTCCCTATCGGGTATGACCCTTTTGGCTTATTGGCATCCAGGTGCCTCATAACTTTTGGAGCGGGTGGTCTTCCTAGTTCCTTCCTGCCGCATCATTGGGTCGGTCAGGACTCCAACCACTACCCCTCTTTTGCTGACGGCCGCCTACTTATCTTAGTACCCATCCTTTGTTTCCCTACCTCTTCCTGACACGTTTTCTCATGCTGGTCCCTCAGGCCTGCCCTGCTCATCCGGTTCCTCGAACATGTCAGCCAACTTATCAAGGTAATTTTCCCCCATCTCTAATTCCCTGATAATTATTGGCTCATATTCTTCAAACGACAAGTGGGGCAATCCGAATATCAAGATCTCGAGTAATTCGAGTAGTTCCCAGGCCTGGTTTCCCCAGAACGGCCCATGTCCGACCGACACGTCGTAGAACATGCCCGTTGTTTGCGGCCGGAAGAGGTGGATCCAGACCAGGGTCGAGTCCACCAAATCCCTTGCCCTCTTGACACTGCCGTATACCAGGTCCACCATAAAGCGAGGTACTCGACACCTCAGCCCGGTCATTGGGGCCTTAAACTCTCGCCAACCTCCTATCTCCACCCGAGTCCTTAACCCCACATTCCTTCTTTCTCGCACTTCCTGGCCTACCCGGTTTAGTACTCTAGTAGCCTTCTGGAAGATTGGCAACAACCCATGCCCTAGTGTCAACTCCGTCCCTAACATGTGTCACCCAAGCTCTGGCAGGTATACGGTCCCCGTCACCCTAAGATCGGTGTATAGATCGTCCCCCGGTCCCCTGTTAATTCTCATACCATCCCACAAACATTCCACCATCATGAACGACTGACCTCTTCCCAGGGTCACGGCTCTCCACTCGGTATCCAATCCTTGAATCATGTAGCTTGCTGGGAGCGACACCTCCCATCCATCTCCATTTTCCGTGGGTGGCTGCGGGTACATGGATCGTCGCGGCATCCGGGCGCGTCTAATCACCATTTCCGACTTAGAAGTCCCCTGCACAGTTTTAAACAGCACGCGAGTTTACTTATTCCACTTGCTCTTCAATTTTCCACCCGAACAACTCCCCTATCCCTAGCCTAGTGCTTCTTTTCCCCTTCTATTTCTTTCCCCTCTCTTCGGCCCTGTTACCGACATGTTCCCTCCTCCATCTGCTCATAAAATCGGACGACACCCCATAGGACCTCACTTCCCACGACCGG